AACACATGTTATTGTCAGTTTGCAACCATGTGTTATGGGTGCAATTCAATGTAATTTAGAAGTCAATAAAAGTTGAACTAAAGTGATTTATATACAAGATAAAATAAAATAAAAGTGTGTAAAGTATTAAGTACATTGTTATGTGCATTAATATACAGCGTGGCGACGAATAACTGTTACCCCAGTTTTTTTTTGAAAAATTAAAGGGTCCTTTATAGATTTAGCGAAAAAAGTATTTTATTTTTAATTTTCCACAGATTTTACTTTAGTTGTATTAATTAGTTATTAAATTTTAATCCTTATTTACATTTACCAGCAGTTTAAACTTTGAGAGAAAAGTTCATTTGGCACGCAAGTCTTTTTCAGGTGTATTTTTTCTTAGGCTTTGTATAAAAAAAATACAAAAAAAAAGAAAAAACTGTATAAGGCTGGTCGAATGAATGGCCGTCCTAGTCACCAATTCCGAGTCTATTCGATTTTTGAGTATGAGGCCTTATGTTGGACAAATGGGGGAGTATAAGGGACTAAAAATGAAGAAAATTACCTTATGGTTACAGAAGATATGGATTAAATTAACCGACGAAGGCATGCGTGCCAAATGAACTTTTCTCTCAAAGTTTACACTGCTGGCAAATGTAAATAAGGGTTAAAATTTAAAAACTAATTAATACAACTGAAGTAAAATCTGTGGAAAATTAACAATAAAATACCTTTTTCGCAAAATCTATAAAGGACCCTTTTATTTCTCAAAAAAATCTGGGTAACAGTTATTCGTCGCCACGCTGTATATGAAAGTATGTGACAAATGCACTTTTTGTTAAGGAAATCAAGTGGAACGACTTAAGAAATTTTAACAACAAATAACTTATAAACAATGATATTGTTTATAATTTTTAGGTATACATGGTTTAGAGGATACCACCCTTATCATCCTGACCAAGTTTCATTTGTTAATTCCACGTGGTTTTCTTAAAACACAAGGTGCGGCTGACTACTAAAACCCACCCATTTGATTCGACAGTTATATGTCTGTGTTTTGGTTTTGTTTTTCTTCGCTCCAAATTGTTGCAAAACGTAGGTTCTTCGTAAAAATTATACGTCTTTCCCACGACATCCCAATTACGTTTTCCGCTCTTTCATTCGCACTCCATTTACCCTTCGAATTACGTAATTCTCAATACACAATTTTGAGAGCGAATTTCCTCATTTGTTGGTAATTTAGATCCAATTACCATGCGAATTACGAAAAAATCGGTGTCGTCTCTAATTTTTATCGGAAATTTATCGAATTAGTTCACAAATCAAAACATGCATATTTTTCAGTACGGAAAGTTAATTTTATAAATGTTTGTATCGCTAATTTAGTACGGAAACTTATACATTTTTAGGAAGAACCTACATTTTGCAGCGAAAAAAAAACAAAAACAATACACAGAGAGACAGAACTGTCAAATCGGATTAAGAATGTGCCCATGGAAATAGGTTAATTCCGGATTATAATTTGGGGAGCGAACAAAGCAATTCTGGATGGCGTGGGAAAATGGTATTATACTGTATCACGAACGATATGAACCTACGTCTGCAGACGACAACATTTCTGAATGCGATTTTATTTCTCTATCGCCTTCGTCTTGCCTTTCATATATGTATTACGTTGCAATGGTCTCGGTTGCGTTTAAACCGGCTAGAGTAATGTCGCCGGACTAATTTTTGAAGTATTCCCCTGCAGACGAATAAATTATTAAAAATTACTTCAAAAATAATATTAACAAAACTTCAAATACTTCGTTCGGTATCGAATGGCAAGAATGTCGATATGGTATCGTATCGTATCGAAATTCGTGTCCCTAATAAGGCGATTTTACCATACACAACGCCGGCGGTTTGATCAAACCTCAACATGGCGGCCAGAAAATCAAAAAATTTAAATTTTTGTTAATATTTCCCCCAAGCGGCATGTAAAACCTTCTAACTCCCCCATACACAACACAAATGGCTTAAAGCAAAATGATATTTCGCTTGGTATCTTGTGTGGTGTATTTCGCTTTTGAATGACACTATGCATGGTGTCAAGGCACTACATATGCTTTTTTTTTCTTAAAAAACGAAAGCTATACATTTTTTCTTTTCACAACAAATTTTTAAGTCAAAAGCTACAAATAATGGCATAGTAACATATTGGATATCTCAGTTCTATCGACTAGGTGTATGGTGTCAAGTTAGCACAACATACCATTTTTTCCTAAAAACGAAAGCTACAAATTCTTTCTTTCCACAACGAATTTACAACAAAAAAGTTTCAATTAATGCCGCGTCGAAACATCTCTTCGTATGCCCGGAAAACCCGACAAACCCAACGCATTTGTCCCTGTGGACTGACCCTATTGAGGCTGCACGTTGCTTAGGGTTACCGTTAGTGGAACTTGACGACAACGACTTAAGATATTAACCGATCTGGGCGGTGTTGTTGTAGCCACTACAACAACAATAACAACATCAGTCAAATGCAATTCCTGCCTTGGCTAGTGCCCCTTTATGGGCATGTTCAGGCCTGCGCACCACGCGAGATTGGACGAGCAATTACTTGGGCCCTTGTTGCGCTGCTCAGTCGCGAATTCCCTCCGCGACGCCGCCCACTACCACTACAGGGCAGCACCCCCTTCAACAGCACACACAACAAACAGCCGGCAGGCAACAGAACTCCCTCACGCCCCACATTGCAATCAGTCTCGAGCGAGATAATGGCTTATCGTTCATCACGCACCACACCGTACAGTATCGTTTTATCGATGCAGACATCGACCGCAGGGATACCATCTTAGAATATCGGGGTATTGCTATTCGCTCGGGCGATGTCGAGCTCGAAATATATAACGTTTATATACCCTTGTCACCAGATACCCTGCCGGATATTACCCTAAAATAGGTGCGCTTCTCAGAGGTGAAAACCTCTGTAGCATAACGTGGCTACCTATGATAGCGCTTACATCGGACCCTCTGCCCATAGTCATCTCGATCGATAAACCTGCTGACTTTGCTGCCGCGAAACACCTAACCTACGTCAACTTTACCAAAGCTGATTGGAACGGCTTTGCGGAAGATACTGAAAGCACCTTCTCTCCCCTTCCCACGTCAACCGACTTTCATGTAGGTGAACGTAAGTTCCGCAGGATTATCACTGTTTCTGCAGCCTGCTTCATTACATTTGGATGCATTTCAGACACCCTTACGACTTCTCTGAAGTTGGCAGGACAACTTTTTCCCAAAGCAAAAATTCCTACCGGATAATTTGCCGTTAATTATCCGTAAATCATCCGTGAAAATAATAATTTTGCCGCGGACATCAAACATCGCGTGCCCTGCTAACTTCCACGGAAGTTCTGTAAACCTTTTAAGGAAACCAGCTACTAAATCCAAACTAACTACATATTTAATAATTTGCCGTAAATTATCCGATGTTTATCCGTTGGACTAAAAATTATGTCGCAAACATATTTAAAAAAATATCGCGTGTTCTGCGAACTTCCATGGAAAACTAGCAGACCCGGCGAACTCCGACCCGTCCAAAATTCATTTTTTTATTGAAACATTTGGTCCAACGTTTTCGCCAGCAGTTCACGTTCACGTTTGGTTTTGTGGTCGACAGAAGGGATATCTTCCATTGCCGTCTTTTAAAACCTGATGAAAGCGTTATACCGGGAAGAAGTCCTTGCGGCTCGTTAGTGAATCGTCCTTGGATCTGTATAGTATAGTTGGTGGCAATTTCCAAACTGGTGAGTATCATTGGCTCACATTCTGTTTAGCCACCGTAAAGCAAGGACCGCAATGGTTCTGATGGTTGATTTAACGGGAGTAATTTGAGTTTGATCCCTAGTCCCTCCGAATGGACGATTTTTAGCAATAACTCGGCGCCATTAAAATCGTTTCGGTCATTTAGGAGGAGCTAAGGCCCCTATTATGAGTTGCATTCGATTTTCGACTGTGGTCGAAAGTGCTGAGCGAACGAATTTTCATTTGGTATTATGGCGCTCATTCGATGAAGAATAGCGCTATTGTGAATTTCGCTCGTTTAGGTTGTTCACAATAGTATATTTTTCACCGCTGAGAAGCTTTGTTTACAAATCGAGCAAACTAAATAGTGTGCTTATACATATTTATGTAAATTTGTTCTAATTAAAATGAAGTAAAAAAGAAAGCCGCTGTGGTGTAGTGGTAAGCAGTGAGCGCTTTCACTCATCATCACCTGGGTTCAAGCCCTGGTCAAAGCAACATCGCAAAAAAATAGAAAAAGGTTTTTTCTTAACAGCGGTCGTCCCTCGGCAGGCAATGGCAAACCTCCGAGTGTATTTCTGCCATGAAAAACAGCTTCCCATAAAAATACAATCGCCGTTCGGAGTCGGCGTAAAACTGTAGGTCCCTCCGGTTTGTGTGACAACATCAAGGCGCACACCACAAGTCGGAGGAGAGGCTCGGCCAAACACTAACATATGTGTAAGCGCCAATCTATTATTATTATAAAAAAGAAAGCAAGTTTATAAAATCGTGGTAAAATGAGTACAACGAGTTCTGGTTCAACGATTCGTCAGAGGATGAGAGCTTAGTAAACTGGCCAGGAGTAGCAAATGTTTAAGAGAGTTTAATTTTATTAGTCTTTCGAATATCTTTTGATATAAAATATAAATAAGAGATTTGTCTACAGATTCATTGAAAAGTTCCGACCATCTAAAGAGGCGTTTGTGAGCCAAATCTATTTAAAATATTTTAAAACTATCAACAGCGCTACGATTTTGTTCTCAGAGATCGTGCCAACAGAGTATTGGGATTTTCTTTCACAAGTAAAACCAGCCTTTCGAGCTTGTGTTTAGTATTCACGATGTTAGAACTGCATGAAATT